ATATATATATATTTTTTTTTTTAATGGGCTAAAGCTTTTTGTTTTGTTTTGTTTTCCCCTATGTAAAACCTTTCAAACAATATGATTAAAAATGAAAATAAACAGATTTTTGATAAGAGATGGGCCTTTCACCTTTAGCACTGTAAAATCATACTCGGGATGTTCAAGTCTCATTTCCTTTGGAGGCTGTGCTGTTTATATCTGCACCGTGCATTGCAAGTATATGTCATCTATTAACTGCCTCTGTGTTACTAGGCTAAAAGTCAGTGACTGTGAGCAAAATCCGAGGGCAAGCCAGCAACCTCCCGCTCATGTGTGACAGTCTTAATAACTTAAGACTACGCAAATCAGAATAAGGTTATGGAGATAAAATCGGTGCAGAAAAATGCTTCCACAGCCTCCCTATTTCCTGTCTTCTCATTATCACTGGGTCAAGTATGAACACAAGTGCTATAGAATCGTTTCAGCTGGTCAAGAGGTTACCTTGTTCTGACCAAAAGGGGCATGTAAGAGCTTTGTCTCTAGTGCCTGCAGTGAGAGCAAAGGGGATGGAGAGAGTTGTTTGGTCTACGTTCTCTACAGCTTGTCATGGATTTGGTGATCCCCGATTCCCACAGTATCATTTATTCCTTCACTCACTCATTGAACAAATTCTCACTGAGCACAAATAGCACATCCTGCTAGGTTCCAACTAATTAGACAGTGTGTGAAATAGACTTGATTTCTACCTGCCCAGGGAGAGATATAGACAATAAATGTGTAAATACAAATTAAACATATAAACACCCATGGGATATATATATTGGTAATTAAGTTAATTAACTTGAATTAAGGACAAATAATTAAAAAGCATGCAGTTAAAGAAAGTGGCAGAAGAATCCTATTTTGGAGAAATGAGCAGGGAAGATCTCTCTCAAGAGAGAACATTTAGAATGAGAATTAGGACAAAGATTATTTTAAAAAAATGCGAGTATTTAGCAAACACAAGGGGCCTGAGCACAGAAGGAGCTGGACATATTCTAGCACTGGGAACAGTTCAGTCTGGAGCCTGGGGCCCAGGACAGAGGAGTGCAGGGTGGGCTGGAGCAGGGCGTGTTGGCCCCGCAAGGCAGGATAAGGAGTTTGGATTGAATTCTCAGTCACTGAAGAGATGACATGATCCAGTCATATGTTAACAAAGACCATTTGGCTGCTGTGTAGAGAAGAGATTTGGACATGGACAAAAGCAGAAGGTCATTCAGAGCAGTTTAGTCAAGAGATGGTGGTGACCTGGGCTAAGGTCGGAGAGGTGGAGATAGCTGTATGTGGGTCTAATTAATAAGTTTAATTGTGGAAGAGGGCTGAAAATTAACCACTCAATTACCACATAATATAATATATATATATATATAATGTAACTATCAACATATATATATATATACATGTATAAAATATATAATTTTCTACAGCTGATTTTTATAAAAAGCCCTCCCTCCTATATCGGGTAGGGTAGGTTGAAATGTAAGTTTTCCATTTTGGCTTCAATTTTTCTTTATGTAACTTTATTTACTTTGGATAAAGGTTTGATTGTTGTTTCTTGCCCCCTCCCTTGCTCTACCCCATGACCTCTGGACACACAGTGCCTGTGCCAGGCTGGAGGTGGGGAGGGGCCCCTGCTGTGAGGGCTGGTCTGGTCCGTCTGTGGGGCCTGGTGCTGACATGCTCTGCTGGTATGAGACTGCTGAACTGCTGAAATTGTGCTTTGCTTGCTTGCCTTGGTTGGAGCCTGGCGGGTTTTTCTTGCTGGCTCAACCTCACCTCAGGTGTCACCCAGGTTCTTCGTTTGCCTCCAGACAAGACACTTTTGTGTCATGGTCACCCTGCTTTCTCCATCATGGTGTGTGAGAACTCCTGAGTCCCTTAGCCACCACAGAGGGCCATGGGAGACCTGTAGATACAGACTCAGCCCTCTTCCTGCTTAGTTGGACCAGGTGGCATTTTCACTTTGATACAGACACCCCTACGTGTGTGAGGAGGCTGCCCTACCAGTGTCCCCTGACTCTCTCTCTTCCCACCCCGGGATTGGTTTGATGGGAGATCGAAGGCTCTACTTCTCTTCTTCTACTTCCTGGGGTGAATGCAAAGGGGAGAATCCACCCTATGTCATGTCCTTATCGTCCGTGGACCAGCAAGGCTTATGGCCCAGCTACCATTTGCATCCCTTTCCGTATCATGGAAGACACGTGTCAGATCCAAGCCAGGTAGGCTGTCTCTTGATAGGGGACCCATGGGCCTACACTAATGATTATTGAGGTTAAAATACCTTGGTTTTGTCCTGCAAAACTTGTCTTGTTTCCCTTGGTATTTGTGGACACAGCCAAAGTTGTCAGCATAGGCGTCAGCACAGGCGTTACCTGAGGTCTCCACTTGGCTTACAACGCTGACATTGCTGTCTTCTGCCTACCCAGTGATTAAATGCCTGAGCAGGTTCTGAAAGGCCTTGGGCCTGCCCTCCTTGCTTCTTTGCCCGTGGCACAGGTGTAATCGGCCTTGTCTGTGCTCCTCAAATGTACATCACTCTTTTCTACTTTGATGGCTTGTGTAGCCTTTCTTATTAAAAAACAAACAAACAAAAAAAGAACCTTTCTTACGAAAGGCTTCCCTTGTCCCTTTTTCCCTTTCTTGTATTTTTTAATTTAAATCCTACCCATCCTTCAAGGCCTGGCTCACAGGCTACCAATAACATGAAACTTCAGAGCCATTCAACTTGAAGTAATGGCCATTTCCTCCGTCTTCTCGTGGCACTTTGCCTTTTTGTGAACCACACCATCTTCTGTTTTTACGAGTTCTGACAATTAAGTTCATAAACTCATCCTAGAAAAAGTGCTACCCACCTCATTGCTGAGTTTCAGTATAGTCACCTTCAAAGAGCTCCCCTTGGGGCGCCAGGCGCCGATGCCAGTGCCCAGTTCACCCTTCAAAGCACTTTTTCATGTGTTATAATTATTGGTATGTATATCTGCCTTTTATTCTAGACTATTGGGGGAAAGATGGATGGTGCATAGCCACACACAGATTGTACGCTGCTCTGTGTCACCTGTGCTGTCTGTCACACTGTTTTGCACACAAAAGGACCTTGATGATAAATAATGAATTGCACAACCACACTTCTAATAAAGCTCTCTAAATCTCACTTTAAGGACTTTGAAACAAGTGTAGGGGTATTATGTTTCCTAACATTTGATGGCATTTGTCTATTAAATTTCCATGCCTTGGTCTGGAATCCAATGAGCTATGGGAAATAGGTTTTCAACCATCTTTCCCCGGCCCATGAAGTAGAGTGTTGTTATATTTACAGGGGTCTGTGGAGACCTCCAAAACATAGCAGCACAATCATATATCAGAAACCCCTATCATAAATGAGTCGGACAGGATAAGCCAACTTGAAAGAGAAAATAAAATATTATAACTCCAACTTGAAAAGAAAATATGGTGTGTGGTTTATTGCTGTGGATTATGGAGGAAGAAGGAACTGATTTTAAGTCAAACACAGAAAAGCAGTGACACTCTTTAAACTCAATACAGTATTTACATGGCAGACACTGGACTTTAGAAAGCCAAACCTTCAGGCTCCTGCTCTGGTCTATAAAATACATGTAAAATTGCTTTTGCTACATTATTAGTGCTACATTATTACTGTGCCATTCTAGATGCAAGGAATGTTCAGGGAGAAAACCTTGAAGCCAGCCTGGTTCTTTAAAGTCAGAGTCTGTTTGTCAGAATCTCACATTGCATTTTAAAGACCTTTAAAGTTGTGGCTTTGGGAAATTCCACTCTGATGAAATGAGGCAGAGACTAGGAAAGATTTGCAACATGCATAGAAAATAACTTTAGCTGTCTTAGTGATAAATTCATATTTATCAGCAATATGAAGATCATCTTAAATAATGTGATTTCCTTACTCCTAGAATTACTTTCCATTGAGAATACCTCTCCTTTCTTGAGCTTCCTACCCACCCCCCTTAGGGCCCCACTTCTATTGCTTGAATGTAGTAAGTTGAGTCATAAACATCTGGTTCAGACACAAAGGTATCAGAACAACTCCCGTGATCAAGGCTGAGAGTGAAAACAAGAAAGTGCATATGGAACCTGCTGATTAGGCTTGTTCCACTCTAAAAGATGAGGGTAATATATACTACCATGGCTGGGTTTGTCGGGACTAAGATAGGCTGCAAGGCATTGAGCGGAGGTTGAACCTGACAGCCCCTGAGGACTTGTCCAACTTGGTGAATCAGATGTGCTGGGTTTGCCCAGCCTTGCGAAGCTGCCTTGTTCCTTCAGGTTTGCTGTGAGCCCTGGAAATTGGATGGCAGGTACTATATCCTGCCCCATTCAGTCTCACGTTCATTTCCTGTGGGTGAAACCCTGGCAAAAGTCAAGCTCCCTTTTCAGTTTCCACATGAACATGTCAGGTCATTAAATGAACAATTCCTGGTGTCGGGAAAGCCAAGACTTATGAGAAATGGAAAATGCAGTCAGTTATTTGGGCCCTTCAGGTTGAGGCAGATTGTCTGGGAGCCTGATTCTCCCTGAGTGAGTTGATTCCCTTCATCACTCCTCACTTGTTTGTTCACCATCCATCCACTCATTCATTTAACAAGCATTGCTTTAAGTGCCTCGTGTGTGTCACACACTGTGGGCCTGACCATTGCCCAGCTTTCCGTTTCAATGTCTGTCTAGGCAAGTGATTTACCTCCTCTGTGGGGCAAGGAAGGTGAGTAGAGGAGAGTTCACAGAGCTGCAGAGTGGGCAAACTTTAGTTTTCATAGAGAGCTGAGTTAGGTGGGTCAGACATCTGTGTGCCAGGCCAGGTCTTAGATCAAGCTTCAATTTAAATACCAAACTAATTAAATAAAAACAAGGTATTATTGACAGTTTGATGTTTTGTTAATTTTCTGGGAGTAATAATACAATAAATCAATTAATATAAAAACAATTCATACTTATTTGTTTGTTTCTAGATCACCAGATTAAAAATTGACCGAAACCCTTTTGCTAAAGGATTCAGAGATTCTGGGAGAAACCGGTAAGAATAACTGGGCAGAGACTCACTGACAGTTTTCTATGTGACTTTACTTCCCCACATCCTGCAGGTGGCTCTTGGCTCCTGAATTTTGGAAAACACCAGCATGCTCGGCCACTGAGCTGAGTCATGAGGACAGAAATGGATAGTGATCCAGGAATCACAAAGCTGCCCACCCCAAAGGCTGAGTTCCCCAAGCTCTTTGTTAGTCACTTACAGCAAATTTTATAGTAATTTATTACCATTGAAAAATTGCTATTCTTTTTTCTGATGAGCAACGCCTGCACTGATATGTTTTGCATTATCAGGAAGCAAGAAGGACAAATAAAATTTTTGAAAGAATTACTACTGTTAAGAGCTAAAGCTTTGTAAAAAAAAAAAAAGTGTCTAACCATTTTTCTCCTAGGAAATAGTTCTAGAATACATTGATGTTTTCTGCTTTAGGAAAGAGCTTATAGTAAACCACCCTTCTTGTGAACTCCATTTTGAGAGGAATTGCTGACATTTGTAGGATAATTTGTGTCCTTCTGCTGGAAATGGCCTTCTATTGTTTTTCTGGTTGATAATTATTATTCTTTCTTCTCTCTAAATTTGATCTCACTCTTCCTATATAAAATTAAAATCTGTTATTCACAGAAATCTAGGAGAGACCTGAAGTGGGTATGGAAACCAACTGCATCTAAGGTTATTTCATCAGAAAGTTTCGTCCTCTATAGATAATATTGCATCAGCAACTGCAACATGCCTGTCTCATAAAGTGCACAGGCTTCACGATGACTAATTAGCCATCAGATTTTTTTTCATAATTTGGGGCATCTATTTATATCTGAATGACAGATTGCCAGGAGTTATCTTTGGTATTGTCTTGGGAAGGGCTTTTGAATAAACCAAAAACTTTTATTTAGAACCACTTCACAAAATGTGTAATACATTATTTTAGAATCCACATTTAAGCTAAAAATTAGTCATGGTGATCATTTTCTTTATAAACTGCTTTATAAATCACTCCCTTATTAAACTAATTATATATTTAAAATACATTTGGATTTCTATAAAACTTTATTTAGAATCTTTTAAGCTCATATCTATTGAATAAAGTAAAATTCACTTAAACTTTTGCAAATAACAAAATAAAGCAATATGTTTTGGGTCATGCACGTATTATTTAGTGGTAGAGCTCACTAGAACTCAGACATATGGACTCCAAGACAAATGTTTTCCTGTTCCATGATTCTTGTTTAAAATAAGATAAAGGCCTTTATATTCAAAATTCAGCCAGTAAGAAATGAATACCTATCCCATCTGTTTCAGATGGGCCATCCTCTGCTTCTCCATTGGCTTGTATTCCGGGCCAGGTGAGGATGTGCCTGGGAGCTATTTCATGTTGCCTCCTTGTGTGGACTCTACACTCTGGGCTCACTAAGGGCCTTGTTTTGATCAGGAAGTCAAAAATAGAAGCTGGCCTTTCATAAAGAAGTTTCTAGACCTGCCTGGCTGGTGATTCCTTGGGACAGAATATACAGGATAGACTATTTTTGGAGGTAGACTATTTGTAGTAAGGTCATTAAGAGCTTTAGCTTGGAACCCATGGGTGGATTTCAAGGGTTCTGGAAGCTCCCAGATATTGTAAGTAAAATTGTGTCTGGATGAGAAGGTGCATGTCTTTCTGGGGAGACATCTATAGCTTTCTTCAGATTTTCAACAAGGTCCAAATGTTAGGAATTTCTGCTCTAGACACAACTGTCTGTCTTCAGGGGCAAACCTGACCTTAGTTATTTAACTGCTTCTCTCTTTTGTCATCCTTCTGAATCTCCAATAGCATTAGTATCTGTTGATTGCATTGGTATTTGTTGATTTTCTTATTGGCACTCAAAATAGATTTATTTTCTTTGCTGTTCCCTAATTTTTGGGGGGGAGTCCTAATTTTTGGAGTCCTAATTTTTCAGAATTTTTGGTCACTTTCTCTAAGGTTATATTTGATCACTTAGTCAGCACCTTTCTACTAACAGGCATCCTGTCCTTGAAAATTGCCATCTGGATGTACTTTGCCCATAAGCTGTCTATATTGCATAGGTACCAAGAAATAAATATGTCAGTTATTGATAAATTCTAAGAAGAAAAATGTAGAGTGAAAGTAGAAGCCACTTTATGGAGGGAACAGGGACAACTGCTCTGATGAGATGCCATGACGATGTAAAGGGAGCTGCCGGTATGTGCTCCAGGCAGAGGAGACAGAGTGCAAAGGCAGACGTGTGCCAGGCCTGACTCCATGACATCAAGGAGGCTTGTGTCCAAAGCACGGTCTCTGCCCTTAAGTGTCACTGAACTGATGAGAATGGGGGTGCAGAGGCATGACTTAGAACAGAAAATCAGGAGAGAGCTGTGCTGACCAGCATTGCAACTGAGCTATAGGAACTGGAGTCACTCTTTAACCTTGAGGCTAAGACCAGTGCTTCTTGAAGGATTTGCTGCTGGCTGGGAAACTATGATGACATCTCAGTTGGAGTGCTCATGTTCCCTTGTGTCCTCTCCAGGCTAGAAGGGACCTTGACACACCATTTGGCCCGAGCCTTTACCTTCCTGGACACTGACTGATGAACGTCTTCCTGCTCAAGGCAGACGAGACAGTTTGTCTGTCTTGCTAGTATGCTGCTCTTCTTTGTAAGGGCTCCGGGAAAGTAGAGCTATAGATCCTAACCCTTTCTGATAGCCTGAGAATTTTTCATTATGTCCCATCAAAACCTGCGGGCTACTTTAAGTACTACTAGCAATTATATCTGTTAACTGTGATTGAACACTTAGTGTGCTCTGAACCCTTTGCTTCTGTCCTCTGTAATCTTTAAAACAAGTTGTATTTTACAAATGGGAAAAACAAGGCTCAGAGAAGTTAAGCAGATTTCCTGCTGTCACACAGTAAAGCTGGAGCAGGAATGAAGACGCAAGTCTACCTGACTGCAAAGCCTGTTGTACACTTTGTAGTCTATCATGCTGACAGTTTACTCTTGACTTATTTTATCTGCAACAGACATTGAGGACAGGCCCTCCTTCCTCTAAAAGCCCTTCATCTACTTAAAAACACTACTTAATTAGGGCGGCACCTGTGGCTCAGAGGAGTAGGGCACCAGCCCTATATGCCAGAGGTGGCGGGTTAAAACCCAGCCCTGGCTAAAAAACTGAAAAATCAAACAAACAAAAAACCAAAAAACACTACTTAAGTTCTTTGCAGGCTAATCCCCATGACTTTATCATAAACTTTCTATCCCCTGTAAACAAGGGTATCCCTAGCAGAGGCCAGGAAACCAGGCAAAAGTTCCCTAACAGGTGAACTGTGATGTAATGATGCTGAAGTCTCATGTCTCACAGGGAGCAAGCATGAATTTTTAAGGGTAGAAAGAATTTTTATCCTCCAGTCTTCTGGGAAGCTGGATTGAAATAAACTTTCTAGGGAAAGTACAAGGGCTCTTATATTTTTCCTCTTTGAAAATATCAAAATTGCCTGATAATCACACTTTAATTTTCACTAGCTGCCCACAGAATCTGATGAGGGCAAGAATTATTATTGCCCTTTTGCAAATGGTAAAGATTGATAGACGATGATATGAAGAATTATTTGCAAACCTTCTGGGAACTGGTGGCTCTGTGCCAGCATGGGGGCCCAGTTTACTACCTTGCAGGCAGCACCTCTTCTGCGCTAACAGAGTACTTAGCATCTGAGATCTTCCTCGTGCCTCTGAGACATCAAGTGACTCATGCAGAGGAGGGTGGTTTGATGAGTTGCATATAAATGTGCCCAAAACATACGGATTACATTTCCCTTAAAAACACATGGGCTTAAAAATTAGGGGGGGAAAGTGCTTGGCCAATGTTTTTTGGTTTTGCAGAACACAAAACATTTGTGGAATACTTTGGAGTTACAGAGTTTGCCAAACCTCAAACCAAAACATGTTCAGGTTTGTCGATGTCAATCCATCCCAGTGCAATCCAGAGGCTCAGGAAGGGAGGAGTGAGAGAGGAAAGAGGGGGAGGATACAGCCACCCACTGCTCTCTCCTGGTACGCGTGAGGCTCCCTGGGCATGCACTGTCATCACAGTGCGCCCCCAGATGATGGCTGTGTCCTCTGAAGTGTAGTGAAGAGTGCTTGAGGACCTGTGGCTGAGGACACAGCCTCCCCTTCTCCACATGTCAAGGTAGAGACCTATCCATGGAGAAGTATTCCTGGCTCCAAGCCCTATCCTTTTCTCCTTCCTGGAGGGAAACCAGAGTGACTGGTCTGATTGCTGAGTCTGGGAGAAGGAGCCTGACAGGACCTTCTACAAAGCATGCAGCATTCCAGGCTGTCTTTCCACTGTGTGGTAAGCCCAGCAGCAGGGGAGGCCTGCAACCTGGGCAATCAGTGTGTTCCAGGAGAGTTCTAGCCCGCTCATCTGGTCTTCTCACCTATAGTGTAGTTACCAGACAATTTTAGCAACAGTGAAATTGGTCTTTTGGTCTCCATTGCTTTTGGCTTCTGAGTCCTCCTCACAATTGATTCTGCCCTTGGGTAAAGACAGGAGGTGATAGTCATTGGATTGCCTGGTATCCCAGAGCCACAGTGAGTCATCCCTCTCTGCCCTGTGGTGTCACCATCATCAGAGCCTGTCCTACTTCTCCTTGCTTCTTTAGGAAGTGGCAGATGAGAGATGTGGGAAGGTCCTGGACCTCCAGACTTATGGAGCTGCTAATTTTCCATTCCTATGTAATTCTGCCCCTGACCACCAGTGGTCACTGGGGGCCTGTGTGAGAGTGAGTCTGCATGAGCCTGGGAGTGGGTTTCTGTGCTCACGTTGTGCGGAGGAGATAGATGCTGTTTCTCTTGGAATGGAGACACTGATAGATTTTGCTTCTGGGCATTATCTCTGCAATGGGAGGCAAACTGTGCTTTTCTAAGTTGTTGCTGATTTCTTAGAAATGCTGTGGTCCAAATCCAGTTTTGGGGGTAGTCAATATATGTCAAGCACTGGGG